TAATTCTAACATGTCCAGGAGTCTTTAAAGCTTTCAACTTAGGCAATCATCTGCAAATAATGAGAGTTTTATTTTTTTCTTTCCAATTCTTACACCCTTTTTTCCCCTCACTCGCTGTAGCTAAGAACAAAATGTTAAACAGAAGAAGTGATAGAGATACTCATGTCATGCTCTTGACTTTAAAATATTTGTTTCCCAAATGATAATGTTTTCTGTGTATTTCTTGTGGACACACTTTATCAGATTTTGGAAGTTTCCTTCTATTCACAGTATAAATCTGTTTAAATGTTTTTTTGTGAATTGGTTTTTAACTTTACCAAAGATTAAACTGTAGCTTGAAGGTTCCCAAACCATGCATGTAATGTGAATTTAAACCCCAATTCACATGTAACCAGGCCTACTGTTACATGTTCTTAGGGTCATTGCGTAGCTCTACCAGCCTCAGATCTAGGCCAAGGCAGAATAACTTCCTCAACACCACCCTGGGCCAATGAGCAAAGCTTCTGTGGTTCACACTTTCACTGAGGGTCCAGCCCTTCAAGGATCCTGCTTTTGCAGTGATGTCTGCAATTAGCACTCTTCTTCTCACATGGGCCCAGGCTGTCATATCCTGTCCTGACATGGCTGTTCTAATCCAATCCACCCTTCGGGTTTTGAGGCAGGCAAAGACCCCAGGGCATTGGCCAGGCTCTTCTGGTTTTTCACTTACTGCTTATATGAGGCCCTCTTAGTTCTTCTTACCTTCTTAAGTCTCAGCTATATATTTAAAAATGGTATTTCTTATATTTTAGCCCCTATTTCCAAGTATTTTCTTGTGAGAGGGTTTTCAAGTTATCCAATCTATTGTAATTATGGAAACAGAAGCATCTGAATGTTTTATATCCATTTGGCAACATGAAGGTTTTACTCATACACTCAGCAAGACCAGTTTCAAAAAACTAGTGAGGGTAGAAAGCAAACTAATGGGTTCAAGAATAAGTGTATGATGAGGGGTGGGAAGGGATAAATTGGGGGTTCAAGATTTGCAGATACTAACTACTATATATAAAACAGATATACAAGTTTATTCTGTATAGCACAGGGAACTATATTCAATATCTTGTAATAGCCTATAATGAAAAGGAATATGAAAACTAATATATGTATGTATATGTATGACTGAAACATGCTGTACACCAGAAACTGACATACACATTGTAAACTGACCATACTTCAATTAAAAAAAAAATAATAAGTCTTGAGATTAAAAAGAAAATGAGTAAGTGTGTAATCAATTTCAAAACTCACTACAAAGCTATAGTACATGCACAGTTCTGGTGAAAGGACTGATACACAGATCAATGGAATAGAAGGAAACTCCAGAAATAAACTGCTACGTCTATGGGCAACTGATTTTCAACAAGGGTGCCAAAATAATTCAATGAGGAAAAAACAATCTTTTTAACAAATGATGCTAAGACAACTGAATAAAAAGAATGAAACTGACCCCACCTCACATCATACACAAGAATGAATTCAAAAAGGATCGTTGACTGAAATAAGAGCTAAAACTATAAAACTGTTAGAAGAATGTGTAAGTATAAATCTTTGTGATTTTGGATTAGGCAATGGATTCTTAGATATGGCACCTAAAGCACAAGCAACCAAAAAACAAAAATAGAAAATTCAAATTAATCAAAATTAAACTTCTGTGTATCAAAGGATACTATAGAAAAAGTAAACATACAACTGATAGGAGAAAATATTTGCAGATCATATATATGATGAGAAACCTGTATTCAGAATATCTAAAGAACTCTCACAACTCAGTAATAAAAAGACAAACTGATTTTAAAATGCTCAAAGGATGTGAATAGATATATCTCCAAAGAGGATATACAAATGGACAAAAAGCACATGAAAAGATGTTTGTTAATTATTAAGAAAATGCAAGTCAAAACCACAATGATACCACTTCACATCCACTAGATGACTTTAATCAAAAAGACAGATAGCAGGGATGGCGGGGGCAGTAAATTAGGAGTTTGAGATGAACAGATACACACTACTATATATAAAATAGGTAAACAACAAGAATCCCAACTGTACAGCACAGGGAACTATATTCAGTATCTTGTAATAACCTGTGATGGAAAAGAATCTGAAACAGATATATATGTATATAACTGAATCACTTTGCTGTACACCTGACACTAACACAACACTAAATCAACTATACTTCAATAAAATTTTTATAAAAAATATGTATTAGCCACCTTAAAATACCAGATACCTGCCAAAACAAAAAAAAGACAGTAACAGGCCTCTCTCACTCCCTTGTCTTCGGAGACGGCCCGCACTCTGTCTACAGAGTGTGTAGCTACTTTTACTTTAACCTGAGCAGCCAAACCCTACACCTCGTGGCCTTTTTCTCGGCTTCTGAAACAGCCTACACTCTATGTAGTGTGCATCTCTCTAAATAAATCTACCTTTACTCGAAAAAAGAGACAATAACAGGTTTGGGGGAGGAAGTGGAGAAATTGGAATCCTCATACGTTGCTGCTATGAATGTAAAATGGTACAACTGTTTTGGTAAACAGTTTGGCATAGAGCTGTCATGTGACCCAACAATTTCACTCCTAGGTATACACCCATAACAACCACAACATAGGTTTACACAAAAAGTTGTACACCAATGTTCAGAGCAGCATTATTCATGATAGCCAAAAAGTGGAAACAACCTAAAAGTCCAATGATAAATGGATAAACTGCGGTATATCCATATGAATATTTTAGCAATAAAAAGGAATGAAGTACTGAGGCATGCTATGACACGTATGAGCCCTGAAAACATTACATTCTAAGTGAAAGAAAACACAAAATGCCACGCATTGTATGATTTCATCTACGTGAAATATCCAGAATAGGCAAACCCATAGAGACAAAAAGTAGATTAGTGGTGCCAGGGGCAGAGAGGAAGAGAGAAGGAGGGACTGCTAATGAGTATGACATTTATTTTTGGGTGATGAAAATTTTCTGGAATTAGTGGTGATGGATGCACAACCCTGTGAATATACTAAAAACCACTGAATTTCATGCTCTAAAATAGTGAATTTTATGGTATGTGATTTATAGCTTAATAAAAAAAAAGTGTTAATACAATGAAAAGTAAAAAATAACAAATGCAGGCTAATGTTATTGCTATGAGTAATGAGTCATCTTTCGTCTTTGATCCAAGACTTTCATCTTCTACCAACAACCATGGAACTGCTGCAGGCTAATTTGTTGGTTTGCAAGTACGGTAAAGTCTCAGAGATTTAGTTCTCAGTTCTTGACAGAGCATTAATGTCATAATCAGAAATTTCTTTTTAAAATCCTACTTCTTTAGCTCAAGTCTTTCCTCTTCTATGAGACTGGTCTAAGTTTGTAAGTTGGAAGGAAGCACTGCAGGGAAGGCTGCTGCTCTCCTGGGAAGGGGACAAGGACCAAAGGTGCCCTATACCACGGTGTGGGACAGCGTGGCCAAGCCAGCCCCAGGTGCTGGGCTGTGAAACAGGGTCGACCAGAGAGAGGAGGCAGAGCCTCTCCATACCACGCCTCCCCCAGACCCTGCAGAACTATCTGCAGGGCTCCCCCGGACCATTTCACGGTAGAGCAACATGTTGTACCACCCTGCCAGGAAGAAGGGGAATCAGCCTCAGCAGTCTCTTCTATCAGATGCCAAGAATCCCCCAACCTGCTCCTTTGATTGAATATGATTTCACTTTTGAGTCAAAATGAATTACTGTATTCTCTGTGCTCCAATACCATTTTCTTCTCTCTTTGTTGGATAAACACATAACAGTCCATCTTTTATTACAGCGAGCTATGTACATGTCTTATTGATTATGTGGTTCTTAGGGACAAGTGGACATGGATTCAGCTCTTGTCTGACCACTCAGTAGGTCGGTGTACATGGCTGAGGGATCCGACGTCTTAAAGCCTTGGCTGCCTCATCTCCAACTTGGAGACACCACCCACCCACCACCCAGGGTTATTATAAGAATTTAATAAAACCACACTAATGGAGCATTTAGTCTATTTCCTGGAGCATGCCTGATAATTAAAATATAATAAGGGATGTAAAAAGAACAAGGTACAACTTGGGCAGAGAAGAGTGAGTTTAGCTGATTGGCAAGGCGGGGATGAGACCAGGAAATCTTTGAAAAATGTCTGGCGTGCAGGAGGGGCTCCACGAGATTCAGTTTCTCTCATCCTTCGTCTGAGATTGAGCTTGAGTGCAAGGACTGGGTTATTCATCTTTTCCTGTGCTGAGTGAGCCTCAGGCACATTATTTCGCATAATGTGAAAATTTTAAATGCTCAAAAAAAAAATAGCCAGGGGATGCTTCAACTCAGTAGATTACTTCCATTTTCCTTTTGTCTGACTTCAAATACACTTATTACAAATTTTAAGCGCTTATATGTTCTATAATCATTTCAGGTTTGTTGATCTGGCCCCCCAGATAAAAAGGAAAATTTCTGGAGTCAAAAGTGTAGTTGTTTACATTCTACTAAGTACACAGCCAACTGACTGAACTGGTTCATTTAACTCTTTTTTTTTTAATGGAGGTACTGGGTATTGAACCTCACACATCCTAAGCACACACTACCACTGAGCTATACTCTCCCACCCCAAACTGCTTCATTTCAAAGTAAAATGAGTGAAGTTTTTTGGCTGAGACTCCACTGCTCCCTAAGACCAAAGGATCAGTAATTGAACTCTAACAAGGCCCCTTCCTGAAGGGAAGCCGCCTGACTGCAGCCCCTCCACCCAAAGTAGAAAGGAGGGTGACCACTCCTCCAGGTTTGCATGGATGGTTGCACGCACTAAACTGGGAGAGTCCAAGGCCCTGTCATGAGGTGGTCAGCCTCGTCACCAGCTAGTGACTGCTCACACATTGTTACTGTCAGGTGTAAGTCATACGGGGGAAACCAAAGAAGATAAACAACAGCCGTCCACAGAGAGTGAAGCATACATACCTCAGAGACATCCAGTGGGAGGTTGCCAACATACACCTCTGTCTCTCTTTTCTTGAGTCCTAAGAAGAAAAACAGCATAAAAAAGGCAGGTGGAAGGTTAGAGGACTTAGAACATGTGATAAGCAACCCATTTTCCTCAATGTTAAAACATACACACTCCCCTACAAATGTTTCATGCTCCCCCGCCTCCCAACCCCATGAACAATGAATGAATGGTTACACAGCACTCAGTCGGTCAGCAGACACCCAGTCATGGAAGTGGTCCAGTGGTAAGTGCTGGCCATGGACATCACTGCCTTCAAGGCAGGAGCCCACTCTCCTGCAGGGTGGGAGGACACGAGTCATCAGCACACCAGGAATCCAGTGCTTTCAATGGAGTATTATGAAGTTTCAGGACCAAAGAGGGTAGTATTTCAGAGTTAACATTCAGCTGAAGGAGGGAAGGAAGAGGGGTCGTGCAGGAGGGAGGTGGAAGGGAATACAGGCAGAGGGCACAGCACACGCAAAGGCATGGAGACATGAAATGGCCTGGCACGCTTGGGAGGCTGCATGCAGTTGGCAACAGCTAGACTGCACGCTGCGTGTGGGTGAGCGGTGAGAGTCCAGGCAAGAAGGCAGGCCAGGCCAAAGGCTGGGATCTCGCTGACCTTCGTGCAGTCCTCAGGCCGGGAGAAGTGGGTGAAGGGTTTGACCAGAGAGGTGACTGCAACACAGCTAGGTTTTAGAAAGATGTCTCTGGAGATGGGGGAGGGTGAAATGGAAGGAGGTAAGGATTAAAGAGAAGCATGGGATTGGGAGCAGCTGATGTGACAGTGACCAAGCGTCTGCACTGTGGCCGAGGCAGGTGGATGCATCCGTGACTGAAAGGAACCTTGGCGGCTGAATGGAGCCAGGGCAGGGTTAGGTGGATCCCAAGTTTCATGCTTGAAAAGAAACTGAGTAGATTAATCGGGATCCAGGTCATAGAAGGAGCATCCCAACACCAGCAAAGCCCCGGCAGCTCACCTGGAGACTTCTGCTCCGCCAACGCTCCATTCTTCCCAAACAGCTGAGCAGAGGGTCGGAAGTCACTGCTGCTCCAAGACCTGTCAAACACAGGTCTTAGCGCCGCACCTCCCAAGGCCAAACTCCAATAAAAGGACTTTGGGCATAAGAAGCAGGGTCCTGCATAAGCCTCCACACCCTCTCCTGATGGAGGGTTTCCCTTCCTCCTTCCAGACTCAGGTTCCAAGCCAGGAAGCCCTCCACTGGACCTTTTTATTTGCTAATTGTTAAAGCACACTTACGGTTAGAATCAACACGCAAGGAATGCTGCGGGGGTGACTCCTAAGCTCTGGGCAAGGTGAGGCAGGAGCAAGAGAAAGAGCAGGCGGCAGGGTGGAGGGAGGCTTGTTTATCAGCAAAAGGAAGCAACTTACATGCTGCAGTTTCTTTCCAACAGGATCTCCTGCAAAGCCAACGAGCCACAGTTAAAGGAACGCCGAGACCATCCACCATCGCAATTCTGACTAGGTACTGCGGCAGGCAGAATCATCCCCTCTCCGCTCCCCGCACAAAGTGGTCCATATCCTGATCCCTGGAACCTACTAAGGGTTCTGGCCACCAATTCTACTGTGAGCAAAGGGAGGGGGCAGTTTTTCTACATCACCAAGCAATGCTCCAGACACCAGCTGGTTGTCCTACAATTCTGACACTATCTACCCAGAGACAGCATCAGATTCCACAGGGTAAGGGCTCAGTCCCGCAGGACTCTCCCCAGCCCACCCCAACTTCAGACACCAGTTGCCTGCAGGTCCAGGTTGTCATTTGTGTTTCTGACTGACCTGTCATAGACTGGAAGTTCCCAGAGCCCCTCCTTCGGTGTGCCATCAGTTTGCTAGAGTGGCTCACACCTCAGGAGACATATTTTCCCTACTAGATCGCCATTTAGTTAAAAGGGATATAACTCAGGAACAGCCAGATGGAAGAGACACACAGGGCAAAGCATAAGGAAAGAGTGCGGGGCTTCCATGCTCCCCAAGTCTATCGTGTTCACCAACCCGGAAGCTCTCAGAATCTGTGCTTTTGGGGTTTTATGGAGGCTTCATTGCAGAGGCATGCTTGATTAAATCATTGGCCATCAGCGACTGGCTCAACCTCCAGCCCTTCTTCCCTCCCCAGAGGTGGGGGTGTGGGGGACGGAACTGAAAGCTCCTCTAATCGGCCAGCCCCCATCCTTAGGTTACCCAGGGGCTTTCCAAAAGCCAACTTATTAACATAACAAAAGACGCCCTTACTTCTCTTGGCACTTGAAATTTCAACGGTTTCAGGAGCTCTGTGCCAGACACCAAAGACCAAATGTATTATTTCTTATTATAAATCACAATATCACACCTACGAATATGTTTGGTTACATGGCAAGGGGGAATTAAGGCTGCTGATCAGCTGACTTTAACATAGAGATTATCCGTATGGGCCTAATGTCACCACAGGAGTCCTTTAAAGTGGAAGAGGGAGGCATAGAAGAGAGTCAGGTAAAGAGATGTGCCAACAGAGGCAAGATTAAAGCAATGCAACACGAGAACCGGGCCACCATTGGTTGCTGGCTTTGAAAGATGAGGAAGGGGACCAGAGAACACAGGCGGCCTCCAGAAGCTGGAAAAGGCAAGAAAACAATTCTCTCGCAAGCCTCCAGAAAGAACACAGCCCTGCTAACGCCTTGATTTTAGCCCAGTGAGGCATGTGTCAGGCTTCTGACCTCCAGAATTGCAGGCTGTGTTGTTTAAGCCACTAAACAAGTGGTGATGTGTTACAGCAGCAAAGAGAAAACTAACACAGGTGCCACGAGTAACTTTAAAACCTGGCTGCCTAGGGACAGAACGGGGCCTCTGGAATTAGGCAGATGCAGCTGAGTCCGGCCCAGGGACTCTGAGCTTTTTACTTGTCAAAGACTTTGAGCATGTTTTACCTGTTAAATGGGAATCAAAAAGCCCAAGCCATAGATCACGAGAGTGACTTGCGATACAACACCTACAGCACCTGCCACGAATTAAGAGCTTGATAAATGACAACCACTGTTTTCATTTTTATAGATTTCAGGAATGCTTTCCTATGATCCTGCAGGGTATTACTGTCCCACTTTACAGATGAGAAAGTCAAAGCTCAAAGGCATCAGATGATTTGTTAGTTACAAAAGATACTAAGGTAATTCAGGTCTGTGACTCCAAAGCCTTGGTTCTTTTCCTACCAATAAGGAGGCTGTCAAAGTCATTTCAAAGAGGTTTTTTTTTCTTTACTGTAGGAGAAACACAAATTAAAATGTTAAAATTTAAAAGTAGTAACTCTTTCCTCTAAATTGTTCCCAGCTGTAGGCAGAAACAGCTTTAGCTGCAACTAAATTTAACTAGAACTCGAAGTGGTTAAGATAATTAAAAGACTGAGGTATTATGAATAAAAACAAAGATTTACAGGCATAATCAGGCTATGGGTGTTATTTCCCAATTTCCTGGTAATCCCTGGAAAAGTCTATGAGCTTCTGGAAGACGGCAGGCACCCACACATCCCAAGCAAAGGCCCAGCACAAATTTTTCAAAGATGCCATTAAGGGCCTACCACGTGCTACGCTGAACATCTAATGCTCATTTAATCCTCGTAGAAACTCTTCACAACTAGGCATTATTACCCCGTTGTACAAATGAAATCCTGGAGGCTCAGAGACCATAACATGGTATTTTGTCCAAGACCACTTAATTTATGCTTATAAATGGAAAAGTCTGTTTTTTCATTTCAGACCATATGACACCAAAGCCAAGAGCTTCCACTATTGCCTGGTCTGGAAAAGTATCTTATTTGTGTTTTTAAAAAGACAAAGAATATATAAAGAACTCTTACAACTCATCAATAATAAAAAGACAAGTAAACCCATTAAAAAGTGGACAAACCACCTGATAGACTTTTCTCCAAAAATGAACAAATGTCCAATAAGTACATGAAAAGATGCTCAACATCTTTAGTTATTAGGGAAATTAAACTCAAAGCCACATTATTGCTAGTGGGAATGTAAAGTGGTACAGTGTGGCAGTTTCTCAAAAAGTTAAACAGATAATTTCCTATGACTCAGCAGTTCCACTCCTGGGTATCTACTCAACTAAACTAAAACTGATAGTCACACAAAGACTTGTTCACAAATGTTCACAGCAACATTGTTCAGAATATCCAAAAGAGAAACATCCAAACCACCACCAACTGATGGATGAGTGGATTAAATTAAATGCTGTGAATGGAATACTATCTGGCAATATAAAAGGACTTAAGTATTGATAAATGCCACAACATGGACGAATTTCAAAAACACGACACTAACAGAAAAAGCCAGACACATAATATATGTTTCTACTTACATGAAAAGTCCAGAACAGTCAAATCTGTACTGACAAAATAGATGAGTGGCTGCCTAGGGTTGGGAAGCAGGGAAGGGGAACGAGAAGTAACTGCTAACAAAGTTTCCTTTTGGCTCCCCATACGTTCCAAACATGGAAATATTCTAAAATTAGATTGTGGTGATGGCTGTACTTTAAGTATACTAAATATCCTTGAATTGTATACTTAAAACTCATGAATTTTATGGTATGCAAATTTTATCTCAATAAAGGGCTTTTTTTTTTTTAAGTCAAGATACATTTTCAAGAATGGCTGGTGTAAGCATTTCTTTTGCTATTCCACCTCAAAAAACAACGCTCACACAAAGCCAATGAGTGACCAGGATCGTTCAGTCCCCACGGCTTGTACTGGATTTGGAGCATATTGTGTGAGCCTCAACAGCACGTTTAGATTTTTAAGCTAAAAAGTGTCTTTAATTGCTTCGAAAAGGAGGAAGATGGCACGGGCGTCTTTTAACGTAGTGCCCCACGGTTCTGCACAAAATGCTCCCACCTGCAGAGATTCAGTCTCTGCTGTCCACTCCCACCCACCATCTCCACTGAAACATTCTGCAGACTCACCAGGCAAGAACAAGCGACAAGTTCTGGGGGTAGCAGCGCGCCCCGCCACCCATGAGTGGAGATGAGGGGTGCAGTTTCCACTAACGCCTCCCAACGCCCAGGTCCCCGCCACTGCCCGCCCTGCAGCCCAAGGCCTGTAACCAAGAAGCCGTACCTCTCCCCGCGCCAGGCGCGTCCTACCTGCAGTCAGACGCCGAGCCTTCGCGCCTTCTCCCTACGTGCCCCGCCTCCTCCGAGATCCGCGGGGCGCGGGGCGGAGCCGCTCCTCCGCAGCCAATCCCCGGGCGGCTGCGGCCCGGGCCGGCGGGAACAGCTGGGTGCTTACTGCGCGACAACGGCGGTGCTTCGGCCGACCATAGCTGCACGGGCTACGGCGCGAGCGCCCGCTTTTAGTAGGCACTCCCCCAAACACACACACACACACACAGAGCCCCAAAAAATACGCTTGCAGAGTGAGTGGAGCGAGTGACCGGGGCGTGCGCCTGGCTCCTTTTGGAGCGGAGGAGCTTCCTTCCTGGCTCAGGAGGTGCACGTGGCGCACTCGGGCTGCGTTTGAAGGCAGCGCCCGGCCGATAACCGCTCCAGAAAGATGGGGAGCTGCTTGTGCAAAAAGTGGGGGGCTCTTAGCACGCGGGCGCAACTAGTTAGTACGTAGAGCTGCTGCTCCTTTCCCCCGAACATGTACCCCAGGACTCTCCAATGCAGAAGCGTTGACCCTGGCGCCCCCGGATCTGGGCGGGAGGTAGCGGGCGGGGAGGCGCCAGCCTGGGAGGGGAGGCGCTCGCGGAGGGGGTGGGCCGCTGGCGGCCCACCGTCCGTCGCAGCGCTAGGGACACTCCCGCCGCCTCCGCTCCGTCCCCTCTGGTCCCCGGGAGTGTGGGCAGGTCTGTCCCGTGGCTTCCGTGGGCCCGGCCTCTCCCACTTCGGGAGGAAAAAGCAGGGGAAGCCCCCGGCGCCCGCCGCCTCC